CACCTAGGAATGATCAAGTAGTGAAATCCTGTGTGAAAAGGAACAATGCGCGGACGGGGCGGGACACTCTCAGGACAGAGCCAGTGGATAGAGGAGAGTAGTATTCATATCCCGTAATCGTGGAGGAGGTTGAGGAGGATTGGGAGGGGAAGGGGCGCAGGAGGAACGGAGGGCCAGGAGGATAGGGAGGAGAAGGGAAGAGTGGTGAGAGGGGAAGTGGGGACGGGGCAGGGAGGGGGGAGACGGACACTGAGGGAGAGGAAGTAAAAGAACAGATGGAGGAGCAGCAGCATGAGAAGTGGAGCTCTTCCATCTAGCATGGGAGGAGAATGAGGAAATGGAGAAAGGATCATGATGAGCACGGGGAGGAGGAACAGGAGAAAGAGTGAGAATAGGAGAGGGAGGATGGGGATGCGGTTAATGAGGAGACGGAGAGGGAGCAGGATGTGAGGATTGCGAGGACGAGGCTGAATCCGTCCAGAGCCGCGTGGCGCCGCCGAGTCCATGAGAAGGGGTGCCACGGCAGCTTCTGCGAGGAGAAGATCTGCACCCCCGAGATCTTGGAGGACGACGCCCCCATTTCAACATTTCTCCATCCACATCCCGCCATCCCAAGAGCTTCACTCCACCTTCCCCCCCTTCGTCCTTGTTGTCGTTCTCCTCCTCCTCCTCCTTCTCCTCCTTCTCCTCCTCCCTCTTCTCCTCCCTCCTCTTTCGCACCCCTCTTCTTTTTCCTCCCTCCTCCTCATCCCTCCCTCCCGCTCAGGACTGCGGCTCTTAGGACGCAGCCAACTTGTGTATATCTTGTGCCCCTACCTCGTCGTCCAGGCTGTCTTTCTTTACCTGCCCCCCACCCAATGGGCTGGTTCCCCCCCTCCTTCTCCTCCTTTCGTCTCCTCCTCCTCCTCCTCCTCCTCCTCCTCCTCCTCATCATCATCATCATCATCATCATCATCATCATCATCATCCTAGCATTTATCCTCCTCCTCCTTCTCCTCCTCCTCCTCCTCTCCTCTTTCCCTCCCTCCCGCCCTCCCTCCCGCCCTCTCCCCCTCCCCCCCTCCCCCCGTCCTGCTCATCCTCATCCTTCACCTCTCCACTGGGCTCCTCCTTTTTCTTCTCCCTCCCTCCATTCTGCTGGAATGCCGCCGCTGCCTCCTCCTCCTCCTCCTCCTCCTCCTCCTCCTCCTCCTCCCATTATTCCTCCTCCTCCTCCTCCTCCTCCGCCTCATACTATCTCTCCCTCGCCTCCTTCTCCTCCTCCTTCTCCCCCTTCGCATGCTTTTCTTCCTCCTGCTTTCCCTCCTCTCCTGTCTACCGTAGCTGATCTTCCCGTCCCTTTCCTCCAATCTCTCCTCCCCCTCATCACTCCTCTCCTCCTTCCCCTCCTTCCTCCTATCGTCCCTCCTGCCCTACTCTATAATCCTTCCCCCATCTGGCCCGCCTCGTACTCCTCTGCCTCCGTCTTTTCCTCCTCCTCCTCCTCCTCCTCCTGCTCCTCCTCGTCCTCATCATCATCAGCAGCAGCATCATCACCATCATCATCATCATCACCACCATCAGCATCATCATCATCATCGTCATCATCACCGTCATCATCATCATCATCATCATCAGCATCGTCATCATCATCATCATCATCATCGTCATCATCATCATCATCATCATCATCATCATCATCATCATCATCATCATCATCATCATCATCTTCAATCCATCATCCACATCCCCACTCCCTACTCACACACACAAACAAACACACACACACACACACACACACACACACACACACACACACACACACACACACACACACACACACACACACACGCATTTCTCTTCTTATCTGTTTGCAAGCCAAGCTGGGAGGGCGGGAAACACCGTCCCTCCCATTCAAAATAATAATGACCCCCATGATCCGGGGCTTTGGGCCCCCCTGGACTCCCTTCGAAGAGGCCCCCCAGCCCTGCCGCGCCTCCCAGGGCGCCTTGCCGGGCCTTGCCCAGCAGATCCAAAGCGATCAGAGAAGCAGTCGAAGAGGCGGGGGAGAACCCCAAGACAGCGCAAGACTGCCTCAAGGCGAGCCAGGAGGCCCTCAAGACGGCCCAAGAGGCCCCCTAAGACGCCTCAAAAGACTTTCAGGAGGGCCTCCAAGAGGAAACAATCTCCCCATTTCCGTTGGGAAACGTACACTTTCAATGTATTCGCTTCTTGTGTCGTAGCAGTTCATGACGGTCCAAGAGGCCTCCGAGATCGCCCGAAGATGGCTCAAGAGGCCCCCAAGAGGGCTTCACGACAGCCCAAGAGGGCCCCAAGACTGCCCCAAGACGGCTCCAAAGAAGCTCACGAGGCCCCCAAAGGCTCCCAAGAGAAACCCACGAGAGCCATGGGAGGTCCCGAGGAGGGCCCAAGACGGCCCCAAGAAGGCCCCAGCACGGCCCAAGAGGAACAAGATTGCCCAGACGGGCTTCAAAAGGGCCCCCGAGACGGCCCAGAGAGGCGCCCAGGCGGCCTCCAGAGGTTCCCAGAGCCCTTGAGAGGCATTTGTGAGGCCCCCAGGAAGTTCTCCAACGAGTAGCCTCCGCAAAAAAAAACCTGCGGCAGACGGGGAACGGTTCGCAACGCCAGGCGGGAGCGAGGATGAATGAGAGGAACGATGTAGAGTGATAAGGCGTTGCTTTCCAATGCCTTGCTGTGCGCGACAGGGCAACTTGAGCCATGAGTGAGCACGTGCGGTGGCCATGTGAAGGACCCCGAACGTCATTCCTGTGCATGGTCGTGCGTCTTCCGGAAAAGCGCCTTCCGACCAAATGCACCCAACTGGCCCGGATCCTGGGTTTGCTATAACGTTCCCCAGAAATTCGTGTTGAACACAGGTTTCGGTGTATTTCCAAAGCCAAGGTGGCATTGTTTGCCATTACATTGTTTGGTTGTTTGTGGCATTGCGTGGCAGTGCGTTGTTTTGTTTGGCCTTCATTCGCATGTCTTACCATTGCTTCGCATTGCGCAACTGGACAGTGGGGGCCACGAGCGGGCCAGTACGTGAGCCACACGACGGCTGAACGATCCAAGCGGTGTCAGAATTCGACGCGCAGGCCGTTACGACAGGATCCAACGACGAAGTTGGAGGCTTCATTTAGCTTACGGCGAGGGCCCGCGCCACCAGAGGATGCTCAGGGCAATAACGGGCTCGTGGGCACAAGGGTATAGTCGGGGCTCTGAAGAAGGAACCCTTTTCGTTGGGGAGGGGCTCCGCGTTCCTTAAGTGTTTCACTGCTTGTCTCAGGCTTTCCTTATGTTTTCGATCGGAAATCGAAGTTTAACTTATGGAGAAAAGGGGCCTCGTTCCTTATTTACGGTTCCTTAGGTCAACGCCCCGACTGTAACGAAATGCACAGCTGGTCATGAGGAGGGTTGAGAAGCACCCCAGCTTTGGAGGGGTAGGGCTTGCTCATGATCTTCTCCCTAAGGCCTCCACCTTGGAATGTTTCTCGCTGTGGGTCGGTGTCTCCATGGGGCCTTGGGCCTTTGTCGAAGGGGCATGGGCTTGACCCACGTCCTTGTGGCCGCGGTTGAGTTGCACCCTTCAGCCCACGGTCCCAGGGGCAGTCGGTCGAAGATCGTATAGGGCGTTGGCCTGGATCTGCCCCTGGCAAGAGAGTAAGCGTTCCAAGCAGAATTGGCAGCGCTCTCATGCCCTGACTGTTCGCAAGACGGAAGCAGGGGAGGCAAGAGGACGAGGAAACACCAGATGTTTCCGCTGAGCACGTTGAAGCTTCGCCGGGACATGCTGGGAATATGTTCGTGGCACTCCACAAGCATTCCTGTGACTTCTGTTCTTCCCCTGGGATCATTGCCCCAGCTGACGTGAAGCCGATGTTCCGCTGGCATTTTGCTCCAAGGCCCAGAAGTTTGGGCAGCCCCCCGCGGGCACACACCCCTGCCGAAGGTCCTGCCTTCCGCTCGCACCTGGCCCTCCGCCTTCCAGCACAGCGCCCGCTTGTGCCGCGGAGAATGCCGAAGGGCTATGGCGGAACCAACAGCGGGATGGGGGGCTTCATGAGCGGTGCCTCCATCCGCTTCTCCAAGATGAGAGGCAGCGGCGTGGGCGGCGTAGACGCCTGGAGGGACCAGCTGGCCTCCGCGGCCAACAGCCAGGGCAGCAGCGTGCTGAGCAACCGGGCTCGGACCAGCGGCACGAAGCTGCCCAAGCTGCACTCCGTGCACAGTGGCACCGTCGTGTCCATGCAGCCCTTCGGCGCGTTCGTGCAGCTGGGCAAGGGCGACACCTACAAGGACGGCCTGCTGCACGTGTCGTGCCTGTGCGCGGACCGGGTCGAGGCGCCCGAGGAGGCGGGCCTGAAGCTGGGCATGAGCGTCTGGGTGAAGGTCTGCGAGGTCAAGGAGGACGACGGGAAGTACGGCCTCGACATCCGCTTCGTGGACCAGAGGGACGGCAAGGACCTGGACCCCTACCAGGCCAAGGGCCGCCCGCCCGACAACCACTTCCAGGGTGCCGCCAAGGCGCGCCCGCGGAGGGCTCCCGAGGAGGCCTCCGAACGGCCGCCGGCTCCGCAGCTGTCGCTGGACCCCACGCCCGACGCGGAGCCGCGCGCCAGGGCCAGAAAGAGGAAGGGCAGCGACTCCTCGGACTCGGGCGACGGGGCGGTGCCGAACGCGGCCGAGGTGGCGGCGAAGGTGGAGAAGATGAGAAGAAAGGTCGAGAAGCAGAGACAGAAGCTAGAGAAGGCAAGGAGAAAGGCCGAGAAGAAGGCCGAGAAGAAGGCCCAGAAGGCGGGCAAGAAGGCCAAGAAGGAGAAGAAGGGAGGGGACAGCGGCAGCGACATTTCGGACCCGTGTGCCTCTGCCTCGGAGTGAGTCGACGACGGGGTAAAACAGTTCCTGGCGAAGGGCCCAGCCATACGCAGCTGCAAAGATCGCGAGGCAGGTGGAAAGAATGAGGGGGGGGCACGGAACGTGTGAGGGGTGTGCTGAAATTGGCCCGATGGCGCCACTCCCACCGGGCCCTTCGGTGGAGCTCCCCATGCGGCCACGAAGCGTGTGAGAGGTGATGAAATTCCCACTGGGGCTTTCGGTGGAGCTCCCTATGGAGCCACGAAGCGTGTGAGGTTGTGTGCTGAAACGGATGCGGTGGCGCCATGCGGACCCTCGCACAGGGGCCTTCGGTGGAGCCCCTTATGGGGCCACGAAACGTGTGGGGGGGGGCCGAAACTGGTGCAGTGGCGCCATGCGGACTCACATTGGGGCCTTCGGTGGAGCTCTGTGTGTGGGGCCTCGCAACGTGCGAGGGGCGTGCTGATATGTGAGGAGGGAGGAAGGAGGGAGGAGGAGAGGGAGGCGGAAGGAGGGAGACGCGGGGCGCTGCTGATTCAGACCGAGGACCCAACACTGCAGGACGGTTGGGAAATGCATCACTGACCTGCTTGTGGGGAGTAAGCAGGTTTTTGGGGCGGGGGGGATGAACTTCCAGTTCGATTCGCTGTTCGGTTAGCAAGTCGACTGCACTTGGGTTCGCCTTGCGATTTGCATTGTGACGTGTGTTCAGTTGTAGCTTTGTATTTCATACGCGCATCGCCTGCATTTGTATTTACATGCCGAGTTGTGATTCGAAGTTCACGTTCGATCTGCATATGGTATCCATATCGGCTTACACGTCACATGTGAGTTTTGTTGTGCAAGTTCGTTTCGACAAGCATGGCGATTGGCATTTCGATGTGAATTCCGCTGTGTGGGTTTCGAGTCGCGATCGGATGTGCATTATGATATTAGGTTTCTATGTGCGTCGTGATCTACATGTCGATCGCATCCCTTTGTGCAAGTCAAGCTGAATGTCGATGCGCATGCGAGCTGCACTCGATTGCACATTGATCTGGTCGATGCGCATGTCGATGTAAGATCAGCTTCGCGGTGAAGGTGCGTGTTGCACCCGATGTGCAGCTCTAGTTGCATTCGGTTTTTATTTCTCACAGGACGACGACGGGAACAACCGCGACCCAATTTGTGGGACAACCAGTGGGACAACCACGGCACGACAAACAGGATACCTATGGGACAACCCATGGGACAACCAAGGGACAACACTAGGACAGTTCACATTTGCTAGGGCCCCGCGAGATGGGGACATTTGCTTGTTGCACGACTTGCCCTCAGCTGAGTCGGCACATCGTCGCCCCCGCACTTCTTCGCTTAGCTCGCACACGGATCGAACCCGAAAGTATTCTCCAGGTTCCGAGAATTCCGACATCCCCCCAACCTCCTATACGGAGCCCATCTCATCAAACAGGATACACATGCCAGTCGCTCAGGATACTCGCCATGTTGTACAGCGGCCCAGCCAGCCTACCGTGACACGCCATCCCGAGATTCCCCACGCAGCGAGTGCACGCAGGGATTTCTCATGCCTCTTCCCAGGAACCCGGCCCGTTCGCCGCTCCGGGGGGTCCCGTTCCCGCTTGTCTCCGCTCCGTGCCTCCAGCTGCACAGCCCGTCCGCCGCCCTGGCAGCACTGTTCCCGCACGCGGTCGCCGTCGAGTTGCCCCCCCCCCCCTATTTTGCAGCGCGACGCGATAGCATCGCAATCGCATTGCGCTGCAAAGTGTTACGTTGCTTCCGATTGCGCTGCAGTGCTTCGCTCTGTTTCGGTTACTTTGCATGCTGTCTCTTCGCGCCGCATCGCATGACAGTGCCTTGCGTTGCTTTGCGCCGGTTTGTACTGTTTTGTATTGCGTTTCTGTGCAACACATAGATGGCACCATTCGGACAGTACCACCTAGAGCTGCACTACATGGACCCCGCCACCTAAACTACAATGCGTGGGTTGCAAGAAACCCCGTTTGGGACCCACGCTGGGCATGTAAGGCTACGATTTCAGCAGAGGTTTGCTCGTCGGACACATGTTTTTTATGTGTCGGCATACCTTCACTGAGAATTCGCATGTCCGCCTCTAGCCCATGCAACCTAGTTCCGCAGACAGGCTTGTAGGCGGTTGACGCGTGGTGTTCCTCCGCGCTGCGTTTTGGTGGGAGGGGGGGTTTAACCTATCATTTGATCATGTGCAGAAGTGCCGGACGCAACATCAGGCCCTAGCCAGGTTTCTTGAGGATGCCGCCGCTAAGTTTGTTTTGGGATATCCCCCGCCCACCGCCCCGTGTCCCTCGAGCAGCCTCGTTTTTCTTTTGTTTCACGTATTGAAATATTGGTCGACGCGTTGTCGCTCGCATTCGGCTCGTTCATGTATACTGCCTCTAGTTTGTATGCTCTTGTCTTGGGCCTGCCTTAGTTTTGTGTGTGTTCGCTTGCCTTTGGCTTGCCTCCAGCCCGCTTTTTTGATTTGTCGAGGCCATCCTGTAGCTTGTCAAGGCGAGCTCGCTGATGTTTGGCCAACACATGGTCGCTTTCGGCTCGCTAGACTCCAGCTTCTTGTTTCAAAGCTGGCAGCGTGATTCTAGCTCGCGTTTCGTTCGTATGTCGCTTATTGTGCAGCTTTGCCCGACCTAATTTTGTAGTTACATTGTCCCCATGTTATCTTCAAGGTGTTTTGCCATTACCGTCCGTGTTGTTTCGGGCGTGGTCCGAATTTGTTTCTCGTGAAATAAACTGATTGGACTGAACTGACCTGAGCAGACTGGTCGCACCCGTCACGCGACGGATTTGTTCTAGGCCGCCAACGGCGCAACCTATGACGCAACCGATAGGCGACGGTTTTATTCTCAGCCGCCGAGGGCGCAAGGTATGGTGCAACCGATAGGGGACGACTCAGTTCTCAGCCGCCGAGGGCGCAATCTATGGCGCTACCGATGGGAAACGATTTATCTCGGCTGCCGAGGGCGCAACCTATGGCGCAAGCGATAGGAGACGGTTGTACTCTCGGCCGCCATGGGCGCAACTTATGACGCAACCGATCGGAGACGTTTTTTCCTCAACCGCCGAGGGCGCAACCTATGGCGCAACCGACAGGACACGGTTTTATGGTTAGCTTCCGTGGGCGCAACCTCTGGCGCAATCGATAAAAAAAACCGAGCTGGAGCGGAGGAAGACGAGGAGGTGGACGACGACGACAATCAGGATGGGGAGGAGGACGGGGAGGAATACGAGTAGTACGAGGACGAAGTGTGGGCATTCGAATGCGTGCTGGGCTACACCCGACTTATGCTCGCCGTTTGGGCTGGCGGTGGGGCCCAAGCGGCGAGTTGTTTTGTGATTTTGTCCATTTTCCCCAACCATCCTGTGGTGAAAGGCCCTCGCGTTGAAGAGACAGCACCCCGCATCTCCTTCCCCCTCTCCCTCCCCCCTCCTCCTTCACCTTACCTTGCCCCTGCTCCACCGAGGGCCCCAGAGGCGACATTCGCATGCGGTTCCCAGCCCGTATCCGCGCACCCCTCACACGTTCCGTTGCCCCATACGGAGCTCCACCGAAGGCCCCAGTGGCAAAGTCCGCATGGGTTCCCCGCCCATTTCGGCACACCCCTCACTCGTTTCGTTACCCCATACGGGGCTCCACCTGAGGCCCCAGTGGCAACGCTCGCATGCGACGTCCCGCCTATTTCGGCGCACCTCTCACACGCTTCGTGGCTCCATAGGGAGCTCCACCGAAGGCCCAAGAGGCAATGTTCGCATGCGGTTTCCCGCCCTTTTCGGCACAACACTCACCAGTTTCGTCTGCTCCATAGGGGCTCCACCGAAGGCCCCATGTGCACAGTTCGCATGCGATTCCCCACCCATTTCGGCACACCGTCTGCCCCATAGAGAGCTGAAACTAGAGGCCCCACGCGGCAGTGTCCTCATGGCGTACTTGCGCCCGATTCCGCACACTCCTCCACGACCTGTGCGCGTCGCTGGGACTCCTTCGGGGTGTCCGGCGTGCGCGTCGCAGGGACCCCGCGCTGCACTCTTCCCAGAGCCGCGGCCACCAGGGCGCGAGGACAAGGAGCGGAGTCAGGCGAGGGAAGGACATGAACACAAAACGGTCGGTCGCAGGGCTCGGGGCACCGTGGGCCAAGCGGGCACTAACGCAACGCACAACGGAAACCAGGGAATGGAAGAAAGAGCGAAGGATATGGACGCACAGCGGCAGCGCACGGGGCCCGCGCCAAATCAAACACACTCCGTGCTCGCATATGTCCGCTTCGTCTCTCCGTCCACGCCTCAGTCCTCTTGCCAGAACCCCTCCTCCTTCTCACCTGCCTCGCGATGCTCGCAGCTGCACACTGTTGGGCCATTCGCACGGATATGTTATTTCAGTTTGTGGTGAGATGTATGTATGTTTGCCGTCAGGCGGCTCACTGGTCCTGTAGGTTTTCGTTCCCCTTGCCTTCAGCTTGCCATGGCCTTCCGTCCTACTGATACATGGTATGTGTGTTGGTGCGTTCTTTGCGTACGCATATAAGTCATTACCATCGACTCCATATGTGCTCAAGATCGCGCGAAGTTCCTTTGAGCATGGAAGCTTGTGCTATAATTCGTCGTAAGGTCGCGTGACTCTGGCCCCCCCCTCCAGACCATAGCCTCGGATGTCATCTTTATGCTTGAGGACGGCAGACCATAGCACGATTCGAAATATCGAGTAACAACTGGAATGAATGCATAGCTGAGAACTCCGAGCAGTCGGGTGGGATTGATCTTGACAGTAATGTCGGGAGGCGACCCGAAAGATCCCGCAGAAAGGATGGTCAGAGATGGACGGGCGGGAGGATGCGCTGGAGGAGGAGGAGGAGGAGGAGGAGGAGGAGCACACCATGGGGAGACACTCCTTGGCGGATTTCGAACTGACTTCTCCTTATGATCGGACCCTAACTTCCTGGATGCGGTGGTGAGGGGAATGATGTGGCTTCACGCGCAGTTATGAGTACCCACGTGCGGTCGATCGTTTTGTCATTTCGAGCAAGCAACAAAGGATGCGTAGGAGGAGGAGGACAAAAGGGAAGTCTGAGGCACACACGCAGATATACACATACATACGTATGTGTACCTATACATACTG